GTCCCACAGAGGTGCTCATTCCCAGTGGCATTTGCTCTCTCCCCTCCAGCATGCCAGGCACATGCAGACCCAGACACTTGCAGGCCAAACTGGAGAACAAAGGGACCTGTGTCCATTGCTGTGCCTGGCGTGTTCCTCTGGGGCTGGCTGCAGCTGACAGGCAGGCCCTGCTGCACGCTCCTCATCAGCTCCACTCTTTTCTGTAGTGTTTTGCCAGTGGGAATTCCCAGCAAGAGAGTAGAGTGGAAGTTCAGCTTCAGGATATTAGGCATGTGATCACTGAAAAGTACTGATGCAGAATGAGACTTCTACTTAACTATCCTCCACAACCACCAGTTAGTTGATTTGTCCCAGTATTTATAGTTCATCATTACAACTGCCAAAACTGGCAACCACCAGGATTGTTGTCTCAATTAAGGACAGTAAACAGATTGTCCCATTTTTTTTTGTAATGAAAAAACCTAAAATGTAATACTTCACAGTTTAACATGTTTATTCATTTAAACGAGCTAAGAAATAGTGGTGTGACATCTGCTTGAGAGACACTGGTACCTAACATTTTGGCTGTCTCCCCACCAATTTGGTTGTGATTAAGGGGGAATAAAAGGAAGGGTAGGGGATTTTGTCAACTAAATGCACTGATGAATAACAACAACAACAAACAACAAAAATATTCCACTTTGGAAAAGTGTAGAAATACATTTACAAAAGAATGCATAATAGCAAAATAAGAGGATGAGGGAAAAAGTGTTGCAAAATATCTCCATCAGCTCTTTCAGGGAAAAATACAGTAAGCATAAGATCACAGACAATCTTTGCCAGTTTATTCATCTCATGGCTTCATTTCCCAAAGTGCAGGCATAATCCCCTACAAAATCTTTTAAGAAGCAGCTCCAACATCACATTTCTGCTGTCTTATTGATATGCCATATTGTCATTTTCTTAGTCATAAGCACCAGTAATTATTATGCTACTGTAAGTAAAACTTGAAATGCAATCAAGATCTGTAATATCCCACTTGTTGGCACTCTTAACTTACCTAGTCTGCATTTCAAGTACAGTCTTTTACTGAGAATTATCCTAAATGCATCTGACCTTCACCAGCTGGCTCAGTTGTAACTTACAGGCACAATCCTGTATCAGAGTAAAATGAATCATCATTCTACCAGGAGCTGCTAGCAACATTTTCCTCCCTGAATGGGCAACATCCAAAACTTGGCCCCAAGTCAGCAGATATGCCTCTTCCATGGTAGTAATTTTCATGGAAATTGGATGAGCAGTTTATGTAGTGTTTTCAGTAAGCCTTCATTTAGTAGGGTTGTTTAAAAACTGTTACCAAACACAACTTTTAGGTCAATTGCTCTAAGATGACACCTTAGCAAACAGATGAGTTTGCTCAAGTTGCGGATGTTCACAATTACATGTTGCAGCATAATCTCGCCATCTACGTGCTGTCCTTGCTACAGCTGGTCTGATGCATGGAAAGGGCCATGACAGATCCTGAATCCCATGATGTCTATATGATACACAACAGTGAACCTTAAATAAAGCATTCTTCAAGAAAAGTTTAAATGTATCTCTAGGGTCTATTAGGGAAATGCTTAACATGCCTCCTAAGCTTCCAGTAAAATATATTTATGGACTTTAGGAAGCAGAGTTGAAGGCTTTCTTGGCAATGTTCATCAGCAGTACTACTAAAACTACTATACTGAGGCTTCTGTCCTAAGATGGCCTACATGCTGGTTCAGTGTTTGTAGGATCAAAGAGAAAAGGAAAACTACTGAGCAAAATCACTGCTGGAAGACTACCACTCCAAAGACTTTTGCAGATGGGATGTGCTCAGACCCACAGAGTGAGGATCCAGTATAGACATCTCCTCCACAACCTCTGCAGGAAAGAAATACAGTTTACTCCACAAGCAGAGGGTAACAATAATGGTATCTACCCCTTCCCCACAGGTGAATCTCCTTGAAAAAACTTGCCCTGTTAAGCCAGGTTTGCAGCAATCTTTCTTTGAAACAAGCATATAAAAGCATTATTTTTACAATAAAATAAATATCTGAGGTTGATGGAGCTACACAGACTAACTTGTCTGCAGAAAGAGATCTGATTTATTGGGTAGGACACCAAGAGAAGTCCTCTTTATTGTCTTTTAAGTATTCAGAGGCTACACTTTGTTTTAATATGAGCTTAGAGGCTAAAACTGCCTAGAATCATCCAGATATTCTAAAACTAGTGAGTATCACTGCTCATACCTGAACATTGTGCTGTTTATATTGCTTTAAAGTTCTTTCAAATGTATATATAATTCAGTGTGTCCAACATGAGTAAGAGCACCAAAATAGTAAAAATACATTTATTAATAAAATAGACACTGAGCAACTAATACAAAGATAGGTGGTCCAAAACCCAAGAGGTATATTTCACTCTCAGATATAATTAAGGACAAAATAAGCCACATGTTTGCAAGACAAAAATCAGTCTCTAAAATATGAGGCATGGACAATGTAGCACTCCAGAAAGCAGAAATAACTTGAGGTCAGATTCTGATTTCCCCTTGGAGTAAATCAGAGTTGCAATTTCAGTGAACTCAGGGGAATCATAATTAGCAAACTTAGAATCATAGAATGATTTGGGTTGGAAAGGACCTTAAGATCATCTAGTTCCAACCCCCCTGCCATGGGCAGGGACACCTTCCACTAGACCAGGTTGCTCAGCGTCCTGTCCAACCTGTTCTTGAACACTGCCAGAGATGAGGCATCCACAGATTCCTTGGGCTGCCTGTTCCAGTTTCTCACCACTCTCACAGTAAAGTATTTCTTCCCTATGTTAGATACATGAACTTCTTCTGTTTAAGTTTGAACCCGTTACCCCTTGTCCTATCACTACAGTCCCTAATGAAGAGTCCCTCTTGTCATCCTTACAGGCCCCCTTCAGATACTGGAAGGCTGTTATGAGGTCCTCACGCAGCCTTCTCTTCTCCGGGCTGAACAGCCCCAACTTCCTCAGCCTGTCTTCAAACGAGAGGTGCTCCAGTCCCCTGATCATCCTTGTGGCCCTCCTCTGGACTTGTTCCAACAGTTCCATGTCCTTCTTATGTTGAGGACACTAGAACTGTACACAGTACTCCAAGTGGGGTCTTACGAGAATCAGACCTCATTTCTAAGATTGTTGTGCTTGTGCCTTTTAGAAAACCAAGGATGGTTTGTTTCATTTCATGTAAAGTGGTGGCCTTTAGCTTGAGAAGACTATTGACATAGTCCCACTAGAAATTATTGTACTAATAAGAGAAAAAGTAAATTTGCTGCAATATTAACTATGCATTTCTATGTACATGGAACAAAAGCCTATCCAGTTTATCAAAGGAAATTTTCTTATTACATGAGAATATCTTTCATGTCAACAAAAAGGCCTGATTGAAATGAAGCCAACAAACTGCAAACTATGGCACTTGTGGGCAATATGTACTCATTCACAAGTCACAGATCAGGGAAATTGCTTCAGTCACATATATGCACGCTTCAGATTTTGTCTATAAGTCATAATTATGGGAAATACAATCTTCCTGTTATAGTAGCTTCATAAATTTGACAGTAAGAATAGCTTGCTTTTTAATCTAACTGATTCAGAAAGCAGGTTATGAGACAACCTGCATGAAGGGGTAAGTACACATCTTTCTCATGCCACATATCACCCGGAGACCTACATGCAGACATTAAGAAAGCAGTATTTCCAGCATTTAATGGAACAACAATATTGCTCATGCAAAGTAACAGGAGAGGTCTGCAGCTTCTGTGACATGTGGTGTGGCAATGGTGAAGTGAAAAGCATGTCACATCCAAGGAGACAGTTTGTGATATGCTTTTCTGTCCACTGAAAGCCAGGCCATGTGTCAGATAATGCTTCACCATGAATGCAACATGTTACTAAGCATCTGGTCACATGAGCATGTCTTAGCAGACAGTAAGTCATATGCATGCATAGATGTTAGGATTTGGTGTCTGTAACAGTCATAATTAGAAAATAAGGAATATTTGCAGATATATGTTAATGTTTCTCTTTCATATTCTTCTTGGAAGACTGTTGTACTCTGAATTTCTAGAGGAGTTGTTTTGCATTGCATAAAGTGAATGAGGAGAATGACAGATAAGAAGTGGATCCTTAAAGACTCATAATGTATATGGTCACAGTTACTGTATGGTTTAAAAATTAACTGTATTGATCTAAGTTCCTTAAGTGGTGATAATGGAACTGTGTCAATTTAAAATAAATATATTTTCCATTATAATACCTGCTATGATTTGTATCCCTTTGTTTTCAAAATTACTATAGGAAACCGTAGGCATTTCTGGAACAAGGCAGTAAATATCTCAGTTTCAGCTACACCTAACATTCAGCCCTGAAATTGGTGTCAAAGATGAAGACAACCTAGTTTGCTAATAGAATTCAGAATTATAATTACTTTTCTGGAAGTCAATCTGCCTAACTTCCTTGCCACATTCAGCAAAAATGGCTCAATGCTTTTCTTGGTATCAAAGTGAAGCCAAACTAGAGAAAGACTGACCACCTTTTTAAAAGGATGAAAACTGAACCTTTACAATGACAAGCTCAGTTATATGGCAAACTCAAAGCAGAACAGGATATAGCCAGAATTTTATATCTCCCTGCAGCAGCTTTGACATACCAACTTCTTCAAGCGGCTTGTAGTTATCAAAGGGATCAGAAATTTTATCTACAGTGCATATTCTGCAAAGTACTTTGCAAGAACTGAAGGATGTAATCTAGCCAAGACTTTCCCAATTATTAGTACTCATGGAAAAAAAAAACCACCAAAACCCAACAAAACAAACAAAAAAAAACAACAAAAAAAGGTTTCTTAATATTTACAACTTCTCACATCAGTTTGATGATTAAAATGATTGTATAACTGAAATCTTTTTTTACAACATCCTCCTAACAGGTAGAGCAAGCTGATGCCACAACCAGCAGGAACAGTATAATTAATATATGATTTTGACTTTATATTAATAATAGAGCAATACACTAATTAAAACCAACATCGACTGAACTTTCTATTTACACTAGCTCAGACAGCACAGGAGGCAAAGAACTGTATTTCAGAGGCATATGTGAATGTTAGAGCTTCTGTCATCCAGGTGCCATTTCTGACAGAACACATGTGTGCTGAACAGTTGGCAAAAGAATGAAAAAGATTACTGAAGATATATAGGCACACAGAATCTGGGATGACATAAAAATTAAGTCCATATAGGAGGTGACAGACTGCTTCTAGAAAGATATTTTTTCCCTACAATTTCTTCCATCTTCATAAGTGCGTGTGTGCACACATGCACAAAAAAAGATTAAAAGGGAAAGGATGAGGGGGATTTTTGATATATTTTAAATACAAATCAAGAAAAGACTTTTTATTTGGCATTTCTGCTTTCTTTTGGGAAGGAAAAGGAAACTAATTTGGCTATTAGGAAGCTTTGATTCCTAAATTTAGTCAAGGCAGACTCTCCTCCTGTGAAGTCAGCATCAATACCCAGGATAATAATAGCACCTGTCTTTTGACATCAAAGTTCTCTGCCTGAGAAAACAAATAATGTAAACAACAAACTTCATGTATTGTATGGATGCTCCTGGCTTTCCTGTTAACTGAATACACTTGCCGGGCATGAGTGTTCTCTTATTTTGGAGATCTGGAATGTAAAAGTGACTGACTGACGGATTGCAAAACTTTCTTATGAATTTGGACTGCAAGAAATGGTATCGTTTACTGTCTCACAGTGAAGGGACTGTGTGTTCCTACGTAGTCTTGTTGAAGCTGAAGAAATCTTGATGATAGATTCATTGCATCCGCTAGTTTTCATCTGGATCCAGATCAAGGTCAACTTCATTGGAAATGTTAAGATAAAAGAAAGCATAGAAAGCCAACAAAAATACCAGTATAGCTGCAAGGACAAGTGCAACTTCCTGTAGGAATAAGAGAAAAAAGTAAAACAAAACGTGTTAGAAACAGTACCATATTTTCAGATAAATCAGGAATATTATTTCCCTTCTATAATACATATCAAAACGAGATCAGCCATATAATTGCACAAGGCATTGATACTTTAATGATTTCTTCTTTGTGATTACCATTTCAGAATGTTATAAAATCCATTCCCTTAATAAAGATTTTGGTGAGTCTGATATACTGCCAAAAACGGGATGGATGTCTTAAAGACCTAAAAATAGGAGCTTTATATCCTGTTATTATGCTATTCCTTCTTTTTTAAAAGAAAAGACAGAATCCATAAACCACAGTTTTGAACACAAATTTAAGTTATGAATTTACACTGTGAATTTTGATGTTTTCTAGCAATATGTTACTGCTTTTTGCCAACAAATTTGTAATTTTTTAATGAAGCAAACACAGTATGGTGGAAGTCAATGAAAATTGCTACCTCTACCTCCCAACCTCCTGGCATGCATTACAATATGGAGCTACAAAATCGTTCAGAATTGGATGAAACTTTTCTTCCTTCCCTTTGCAATAAGGCAAAAAGCACAACAATGTGCACTTGTGCTTGCCTCTCTTCCCATAAAATATTGCAACTTGATGCATCTTCCTTAATTAACATAAAGGAGTCTTCCAAAGTATACATGATTTATAGCAGCTTTCAGAAGCAGAAAAATGTTTTTGCACTACACGTCATGCTCATTATGTGACTGCCTATCATCATATTCTATCTTAAAGCTGGACTCTGTTAAGCTCCAACTTTAGATCTCAAATATAATAAATCACAATTATCATACTCTTTATAACATTACTTCTTTCAAAGTGACACTGTTTCATATTTTAAAGTTTCTATTCTCCTGGAAAGCACAGCATACTTCGTATAGTGTTGGCTTTCATTTTGCTAGACAATGAAAGAAGAAATACAAATTTGACAAAAATCTTAATGTTCCTGGAGCTCTCAGAAACTGCGACTTCCACAGCTAACACCATGCACTGCTTCATCCTCTATCATCATGATGCATTTTTAAAATCTGAGGTGCTCAAAAGGAACAGGTTGGTTTGTTCCACCCTGAACTGTTTTCCCAAATCTCAGCTTCATGTTGGCCTACAAACCATCTATGTCAGAACAATCCAGCTATAAACTTAAAAGGAGAGAAGAAAAACAGTTCCGTGACTTTACAACAACTAATCTGAATCAGTACAGAAGATGCCACATCAAACCTACTCTGCCAGTGGGATTGAAACAAGATGCCTACACCATACCTAGACAATTGTACACCCTTTACCATCCAAGGATAGAATCTGACCCTCTTTGGTGCAGAATTCATTGTGTCCTCTAAAATAGGTCAAGAGAATTCTTCCTGATAATGCCTGTTTCTCCCCTTAGACTAGAAGGGGAGTAGAGATGATACCTGCACTGTAGGATGAATTCTATCCAGGATCTCTAGATTGATGGTGGCTTTGTGACTGACTTTGTGTGTCCACTGCCATGAAGGAGTTAAAACTGTTGGTCTCATCTTTTTTAAAGTCTAGCCCTTAATCTGGCATTCTTCTATAGAACAGCATTTCATTTGCATTTACATGAATGCATTAACTAGTTCATCAGAATGTTGGATCAATAATTCAACATATGCCATCTAATAAACTTTGAAATACTACTGCCTAGTTGGCATGTGCTCTATAGGAATTTTTGTTCTATAGAAACCTTTGCTTTACATTTTATACAGATGATTAATTGAGATGTACTTTAAATTTATTTTACCACATTAAAATTGCTCTTGTAAATTTGCTGAGGCTCTTTGCTGCAGAATTCAACTACATTTTCCTCTTAGAATTATCATCTTCTGAACCTCATCCTCCTGATTTCATATGATTTGATTAAAAAAAAATAAGAAAGTACATCTAATTCACTAATATATTAAAGGAAAGTGATTTTTGCTTTGTTGCAGTTGCAACACGTCAGTATCTCACAAAAGGGCATAGCAGCATCAGACAGGTTTCATTTATTTCCTTGTATCCACAGCTGTGCTCCCAGACCCATCTGGCCACGCAGCTACTAATCTTAAGAGGATGCAATAAACAAGTGACATACAACTGCAAGCTCCATCTGCTCAGGAGAGTGGACACAAAACCGTACAATGCAGGCACAGTTCACGCTTGATACAGACAGCAAATTCATTCCAATATTAAAAAGTTTTTTCCCTTGTTTGGATGCCATACTTGCCACACTTTGCTTTACAATAGGTTCACCTGTTCTATCCCTTCTCCTCAGCCACACTTCTGAAACACTGCGATTGCAGCAGCAAAATTATGGGGAATGTTTGCATCAAAGATCTGTTTTCTAGGAAGTAAAACTGGGAAAATCCTACTTTTTTTCTCAAGCTGCCCAGTGACTGTTTTGACAGGAGTAGTTCCTTTATTCCTCTGCCTAAGCTTTACAGTGAATAACACTGAGGTAACAATGCTACTTTCCTTGCTCAGGCATTAGGAACTGGGTGGCTGGATCAGTATTTATTAACCCTCAGAATAAAAAGCCTTACTGAAATTCCAGGTTTGAGAATTATGCAAGAACCTTAATTTTGAGTTACTAAAAGAGTACTAAAAATCTAAAATAAAGGGCCTAACAAAGGACACCTGGCTCTCAGCTAGTGATATGCATTCTCTTAAGAATTGTATCCAGTTTATGAACTTTTCTAAACATAAATTTTGCAATGTAAATAGCAAATGAGACGCTACACCACTATACTGTCTTTGCAACAGTAGTCTATATTGTCATTTTAATTTGTTTTGTACTTATCAGGTTTTGCTATTTGTATTTTAAGCCATGCATAGAAATGAAATGTTAAAATACTCCCCGCTCGGCATATATAGCTCCCTTTCTCCTGCATTTTATGGATCATCCCCATCATCCCTCTGTGAAATCCATTTACTCAGAGGATTTCATCATGAATAATTAACCAATATAGAAAAAGTCTTATAGAAATAAACTTAAAATGATCACAGGGCTTCTTCTCCTTTTTTTCTTTTTTAACATGGAACAGAACACTAGGAAATAACATCCCTGCTCTCAAATCGCAAAGAAGCCTTCAAAAGGAACAGAATTTTCTATTATATTCTCTTACATTTAGAATAACATCTGTAGAATCCTACAAATTTCAGCTTGGTTAAGTTTTTGAGAAACTTTTCCATAAAGGAAACATATGCCATAACAGCATAATGTAGATTTAGTTCTTTCGTTAGTTCTTTCATTTTTTGACAGTTCTATGTCTCTCATGCCAAAATACTTGGATAATGTCCTCGGATTCACCCTGACGGAGCAAGGTGCAGAGTTGGGCTCTAAACAAGACTAATCAGAAATTGAAAAAAGTAGCAGTGAGGATAAAAAGTTGGCTGTAACAACACAAATCACAGAATCAGAGAATGGTTAGATTTGGAAAGTACCTTAAACATCATCTAGTTCCTAACTCCCCCACCACAGGCAGGGACACTTTCCACTAGATCAGGTTGCTCAAAACTCTATCCAACCTGGCCTTAAACACTTTGAGGCAATCCACATCCACAACTTCTAATTCCAGACACCGTGTATGGCAGCATCACATCCCATGCATACAGGGAAATGTTACACTTTCAGGAAATTTCAGATTTTTTACATATATTTTTTTTATTGTCCTACAAAGAGAATCATACCTTTTGTTATCTGCAACCAGCTTAAAACTAAGTGAAAGAGTTCCACAAATTGCTGTCTTTGAAATGCTAAACTGTCCCTACTGATTTCTGGGAAGAGATGAACAGAAAATCATACTGACCAAGGATACCTGTAGAATTTAAAGAAACATAGATGGACTTGAGAATCATGAACCTTTTCATCCCATATAATTTTTAACCAAAAGACTTTATCTGAACATTCATCATTTTTTAGAGTTTGAAAAAAATTATATTTAAAAATGGATGCAGAACATTCTACAGCTAATAAGAGGTAACAAAAGTAACTTAGTAACTTTTATCAGTCATTTTTGTGTTTGGTTTTTTTTTACTGTAAAAATTTCAGATGGAAGAAAGATCATTTTTGTCTCAAATAATGAGAACAAAGTACTATTAGAGAGTCACTTAAAAGGCCTGGCTGTATGTTCACAAAGTAACAGGATTCATTTTAATATAGCTAAATGCAAGATAATATATACAGGTATCAAAGATGTACAAAGTACAGACTGTTGAAAAACAGTGACTCTCGAAAGTCTTTTGGATTTAAGGGGTAACCACTCCCTCAGCACTCTGAATGTGCAAAGGCAGAAGAGCTTCCAGTAGGGAGATGACTGGTATTTATTTTATTATAGAGAAGAATGAGAGCTAGTTTGCTTACAGCATATAACTGTAAGGCGCTTCGCAGTGTGGGGTCTTTCTATCTTGTTTACAAGAACCTCTCAAGGCTCAGCTGTGGTTAGATAAGATCTGTCTTGAAATAGGATGCCATTTCCTAGAAGCAAGAATGATTGAACATTCCATTTACCTTTTGGGGAAAATACGGACTTCCATGGCTGGGAGTCTTTTATGGTCAGATCTCTCAAAAAAGTACATTTTGGTTTAGCTTCAACTTGGGTTTGTGTGAAAAGGAGGTCCTGGCAACCAGCCTTGGAGTTGGTAAACTCAGCCCTCTAGACTGCTCCACTCCTTCAGGACACAGGGAAGACTGCAATTACTTACATGGTCAGTGCTATATTCTGAACCCCTGAAGTACCATATTGTTAAAAGTAAAGGCACCTCTTGCTTCAGTGCTTCAGACTTTTCTGTATAGGATAAAAGAAGTTTCCCTACTTTCCAGGAACCTTTCCTCCAATTGTATTGATTTAATTTCTAGGATTTGAGGTTTTGTTGTTGTCAACTGTTACTTTGAAGTGTTAGAGATTGGTCACAAGTACACACCAAAGCTGAGTAAGATGGACTAGTGCTCTGAGATGGTACAGAAAATCCTCCTAAGCTCCTGCTTGGTGCTTCTTGTGCATCTTGTTCCCATGTTCAAACCACCATGATTACTGTACTTATGTATACAGGTCAGGCCAGGGTCACAAGGGATCAATCTGACTTTGTTTTCCTGTCGGATTTTCCACGCCCTTCCTTTTCAAGGTCAGGGATCAAAGTCTGACTACTGAGATCACTGGGAACATCAGAGTCTGTTCACTGGTGGCACATTTAGCCGCCCTGCTCTTTACGTGAGGCACATAAGCTGAAGACCCAGTATTTTGGCCCTTACAAAGTGCCTGGGCTTCCTAGAAAGTATTTGGACGAAATTTTACGATCTGTAACATATAGAAGCCCAGATCAAATGATCTAATAGCCCCTTGCAGGCTTATTTTCTGCAAAGCTATGCAACTATATTCCCAACTTATCTTGGCAATTGTAGTTCACTAACTTAGCAGATCATGAGCAGCATGAAATCAGAGAATGCTATTTGCCAAAATACACCAGGAACGTCTTGTTATCTACTCATACATAACTTGTTCCAGATGAGATACACTGTTAATAGTGAGCTAGCTACCTACACAATAGATTAAGTAGATGGGCAAAAGACTGACAGTAAGCTCTCAGTTTTTTAGGATGCATTTTTTCCTTAGCTCAATCGATGTACTATCTTGCTAATAATTCTCTATGGAGTGGGATTCTGCAGTCAATTATGTTTTTGTGAGTGGGTGTAAAATACTATTGTTCAATTTGTGTCTAGCTTTCAACAAGAGAGAAAACTTCATCATCTATCACATGGACCAGTGATTCATTCTGCAGCCTCTGAACAAAGTCTTTCCCCGAGAACTCCTATTAGTTTTGGCCTCTGCATACCAAACCCCACCTATTTGGTGCTGAGCTTCTACATTCCTCAAACCATTTTCTGCTTGCCATCCTCCTGCTGGCACCTCTTCCTCACCCTCTGAGAACCGAGTTAGCACTGATGGTGCAGACCCCTTGCTGCTTGAGCTGGTAAGGATGAGCAGGTGGGCTTCCACCCGCACAAGCTCCCCGTGGGGGATAACAAAACAACCACACAAAGATTCAGAGGCTCCCTTTTTGGTACTGCTACAAAAAATTCTGTCGTACCCAAACACCAGGAGACATACAGCATACTGCTTTCTCTACAAGTTGTTTCTCAAGACAGGGGTCCTGCTCTCCCAATAGATACCATATATTTTGGCACTATCTGCATTAGTGTCACATGTACAAGCAGAGCCACCATAATAGCTCTGTTACAACATTTAATCTTTAAACATGTTTAAAGAGCAAATATTGCACACCAAATACTAGCATGGTCACCCTGCTTGAACTAACTTTTGATAGTTATTAGTGCTCAGCTGCTTCTCTGACATTATCAACACGGATAAAATCTCTCATTGGGGAAATTAAAAAGTACTAAATGCCAGTGACTCAAAGAAACTTTGTTACTTTAAACCTTGCATTAAAATGACAAGGCAATCAAAGTTTGACAAGACAAGCTAATTAGTATGCCAGCAATGAAATGTGAAGGATCTCTAGGGAATTGGTTCTGAAAAGTTTATGTCATTTACAGGGCCTTTTTTTTTTACAGCAAATGTTGTCAGTTCTCATGGTGAAATACACAACATCTGAATTTCATTATCTTTGTAGAAATTAAGGACTAAAATACCTCCATTATTTTCCAGTCCTTTTTTTTTTCTTTGCCTAAGAAAAGTCTACACCAAGTCTTAGTTTACAGCCAGGAATATAAGCTCTTCAGGACACCAGTGCAAAACAACTCCGGAAGGATCAAGGAGCACTAAAAATCCTACAGTTTCAAGTGTTGCTATGATACTTATTGTTTTAGGTATTTCACAGAATTACAAAAATATTCCTCTTTCCCAAACAACTTGTACTTTTACATGTATGAAAAGAACATCCTTCCTCTACAATACTTTTACTAACTGCAACTTAGCTTTTTATAAGAAAATGTTTCTATATTTTGAAATGCTGCACACTGCATTATGTACTGAAGCCTGGATAAACAAATAAAATGTATGGTAAATAAACACAGATTTGTAAGAACTTTGGACATTCTATTTAAAGTGCTACCTACTTACTGCATTACATTGGGGTTATACTAATTTTTTTTCTTCAACACAGACCGAAGTTAGTCAACTGTCACTGCACAGAATCAGAGCCTACATCACATAAAAAGACTAAAATTCCAGCTTTTGGAAGGCGAATCATATTGTTTATTGCTATGAGAAAACTTTGTTAATACGAGGTGACAACTGTGATGATACCTTCCCAAAGGAATAGCTCAGGCACACTCAAAAGCCCTGAATATTAGGAAACAATTAAAGGAATGCACCCTCAAGCCTCAAAACAATTTAGCGAATGTACAGAACCTGAAGGGACAAGGAGTGATTTAACACTCTGCTGTCACACTAAGCACAAGACTTCAAGAAATTCTAATTTCAAAATTTATATAGAAGATAACAGAAGTATCTGGGATAGGTGTGGAGAATGAGTGCAAGAAGACTGCTTTTGGACAGCTGTGAGAACTTACAGTGGCCTGAGCAAAACAAGCCCTGCCTGGGAGAGGGAGAGAGCTTACAGGGCTTCACAACTAAACAACCTCTCCTTGGGTCGGAATGGCGATTTCCCTGCAGACACTCCAGGCACATCCACTGCCCACATAGCAAAGCTCTGCTGAACTGGGGGAATAGAGCAGGGTGAAAAGTTGTCACTGCAAGATGGGAGGTGCAAGTTTACCCTGAGACATTAAATATGCCTCACTTCTGTGCTGAGCGCTTCACAGTCCGCCAGTAGAAGCACAGTTTTATTCTACAGGGATTGACCATATTCTGGTAGAAGTATTGTAACATTTAGTAAGCCTGAGGTTGTTGGCATTAAGCAGGTTCAGTGAGAAGGATGCACACAAAGGCCCTGCTTTCCTTCCCCCCACAAGCATATCCCAAGGGAAAGGTGCCCAACCTACCTTCAGTTTTGCTTCAACTATGTCAGCTTTTCTCAGCAATTAGGAAGCAAAGCAAAATGACTGTGATCTGTTTGGGTATGATCCAGAGTCATATTTTAAGGTTCAGGTGTGCAAAAAATACTACAGCCGGAAGACAGCATTTTAAAGACTTTGGGATTTTTTTAAAGGCAGAGGCAGAACTGCAAACCTGAGATACTGTGCACTGCTATTATCAGAACCCCCAAAACACAACATCCTGTGACATGGAGAACATGGGTGTACCTTGATGGCAAAACTCATTCTTACGTAGATGTCAGCCGGTGTTCTGCTAAAACATGCAGGAGAATATTTGCACAAAATACACTGTTCTCAATTTATTTTCTCACTAAAACTTTATTCTTCACTATACACAGGATTACACATACGTTTTCCTATTCTCCCTATTTTAAAATAAGAATTACTGAAGAAAACAAGGAATCAAAACAGGTTTTAAAGAACCAAGGTTCATATTTTTCTCATTTGTGAAAGACATGCAAAAACCTTGCATGTTTTAGAACTGGACTGTACAGTAAAACAGTACTCCAAGTAGAACATCACTTTTAAAAGGTCATGTTATTGAAAGCAAAATGGAAAGAAATAAAAACAAGATCTAATAAGAAAGGAAGGGAAAAACACTGAACTCAAAAGGTTAATAATCTATCCCTTAAACAAAAAAGGCAATCTACCTTTTCTCATTAAAACCTGACACACAGCACTAACTGAAGAGATTATGTTGTGAAAACATACTGCATTGCATGGTAATGCTTGATCGAGATCGGCAATCAGGAGCAAAAAGAAAGCACTGTTTCGTGATTATAATAGCAAATTCTGGAAGACAACCAAATACATCATCTGGCAGCTCAACAGCTGTTACAACTTGGTAGTAATACCTTGGCATTTGCTATAAGCTATAACTTGAAAAAATTGATTTCTCACCTGCCAGAAACAAGAAAATGTTCTCCTTTTAACATTTCTGAAGTTTCTTCCACTAGAATATCCAGGTATTTGATCCACTTTTTTATTCTGCTCAGTTTTTACCCTTGCTGCTAACCTATTTGTGTATTAACCTGATTCAAAAACGAGTTTGAGGGAAAAATAGTGGCTGCAACTTAAATCAATTTTCCATGCATACAGTACTTTATTGACCCTAAAGTAAGTATGCGTCATAACAAGGACATGGACCACTTAAAATCTTTCAGCATTTCAACTGTTCTAGTTATTTTAGGGTTAAGTAAAAGCAATCCATCATAAATATTTTAGATTCTGGCATTCCACCTAGATTTTGAAGTGTCATAAACAATATCTCTCAAAAATCAATATTCACACAGTACATCTATGGGGAAAAGAAACAACATATACACAAAGGTGGTATAAGCTGTCAAACAGATCTCTACCTTTACGCCTAGTGCAGTTTTCTTGGCCTCTGCTTTTAATCTTGTAGCTCTTAACATAGGCCTGGTTTTCTTATAATCTTGTTTTCCTAGAGTAGAAAAGCACATTTAAGGAAAATGACACAAAATAGAATATAAAGAATATCAGCAATTATTTCAGTTGAAAAGTCAGATCTAACGTTTTGAAAACATCCCCTAGTCCAGCACTTTAAAGAGGAACTATTCTGTGAGACTGGGGCTTGGTCTGTGGAGAAAAGGTAGCACAGAGAACGACAGCAACAAGCAAGAGCCAACAAACCAGTGCAGAACCTAGTACTCCAGAGGAACATCAAAACACATGTACAGTTAGCCATCCACTAGTATAATGTTTATTAAATTGGTCAGTAAGCATCAGACAGCAAATAAGTAGATTAAAGATGATGTTTTTCCCTCTCATTTCAATCAAAACAAAATTTTCATTATAATTTTTGTTGGGTATTCATCCCTAATGCATATATAAATGTGTAATACAGGACATTATGGTGAGTGTAAATGTTGATCATTATGAACCGGAACATTATTTGCAAGTATCAGAACTCAGAGACATGAGTGTCAGTCCAAGTAAGCGCTTATAAAACCACTGCTTCACACCACTTGCTTGTAGAAATGTGTTACACAGAATCTTCTAGAAGTGTCTCAGATGAACTTTTATGGGGACTATCTCTTGCAGGCACAAAGAGTGCAGCCGAGTGCTTGATTACTGTGCGTGCATATGAACTGAGTTCAGAGCAGGACACGCAAGTACTCAAAAATGGCATAAATCATTTATCTCAATAATACAGAATAAAATGCTTGATATCTCTCAAGGATATTTTGCTTTCTGAAGGGGCTGTTATTGCTGTATTATGTACTATTTAAGTTAACATGAGTCAAGGCTCAGATACCGTCACAAAAGGAGGAGAAAGAAAAGAGTAATCAGTGAAAAAACTCCTCAGAGAGGTAGAACTTCAGTGTAACTGCTTTGGCTGTTCAAAGATGTCCTTTCCATTCCCCTTGCTCCCCTAAATGCATACATGCCCTTATGTCCTTTTTGCCTATTTCCAAAGCCAAGCTACAATGATGTAAGCAGGAGTGTTTGGCTGTTTTTAAACCACTAATTTTATCTAGTTGTACATTAGCTTTCATTATGGTTATATTCAAGTAATTCAACCTTTCCTCTAAAACCATGCCCACTAGTTTTTTGTATGCAATACTCCCATTTGCTCAACCAGATGTGATCTTGCATTCATAATCACTAGTGCAATCTTCTATTTTATGATCACCTTCAAAACTGGAATATTTTGCAGTGGTGAAATTGTAAGACATGAGTTGGAAAAGAAGGTCTTCTCCAGCAATACACTGGGTTCATGAAAATGCACCTCTGTCTACTTTCTCTATCACTGCTCATATTCAATACAGAGCAACTCTGTAGCATACTGTGGATGCTGAACTCACATTACGAATTTGCATTCATTGCATAATTTCTCCTCAACCCCTCGGGATTATATATTGTGAATGTCTCCATATTATCCTTTGGTCAGGTATTACTCACGAAAGACCTGAAACAACTTAGAAAAATAACCAAAACCATGCCTACTGGTGGAGGGAAGTATATATACAAGGAACCTTTTTAGAGGACTAAGCAAAGAAAAGATGACCATTTCTGTCTCATGCTCCAATATATTCATCCAGTCAATTTATCTCAACTGCAGGACAGGATTATTCTTCAGAAATCAATGACATCTGGTAATAGGATGCGTCAAGAGTACAGTAAGTTTTTTGAACAGTTAGGGAAAGAATTACAGGAACCACCAAAATGGCTATGTCATAAGAGGAAGCCGGCCAGAAAGAGTACGTTTCTTCTCCCTAAAGCACTGCAGTCATACTTTTGTTATGAACTAGTTAAATAGCTGTCAGAACTTCCACTGTAAATGGCAAGAGTTTATAACTCATGAAAATTCACTCCAGACCGAAATTTGGCATAGATGTACCCCTGCCTTGAATTTTCTTGTTTGTTTGCTGGGAGCCAGCTTTCAATAAAGTGATGCAGCTGTTCTTACTTACTTGTGAACAAACTACAGAAATTTATCCTCCTGAGATGTTTTAAGCACGAAAAATACCTTTGCTCAGAAGTATATAACTGGCAAGGACTAAGTTCAATTTCAGTTCTCATAATTCAGGTTTACTGCTCTCCCACCTGGGGTAAATAAAGCAGGATAGTCAGAGGTTTCCCTTCCAGTGATGCAACAGCATTAGATAATGAAGCTTTGTAAGGATCATTAGGAATGGGAAACAAGTGAGCTACTGAAACCCATCTACCCTTCCTCCAACAGCCTATTCTCCCTCTTTCTCTCCAAGAGTCAACTGTGAAGGTGATACAAGCAGGAATAAACATTGCACAGGAGACCCAGTGTGTGAACTGCATATATTGGCAGAACCAAATCTATCATTAGAAAATGGAGAGCTTATTGGTGTTCTTTCCCTTGGTTTCAGGCACTATGCTACTGTTTATCATGGCTATGGCTAAGACTGGATTCTACTTATCTAGAGAATACTTCCAGAGTTATATTAAATCTGATATGAACAACTAACCCCCCTGCATAACAAATAGGCTATTTCAACAATGACTCTAGAGCTGGTAGTCCTCCAAATATATGCACCTGCCATTAATTTACCACTCTCCTTGCTAAATGTGATAGCCAAAATGAAAAAAAAAAAAAAAAAGGTAGGGAAACAATCTGAGTCCACCAAGTGCAAAAGTTTAAAAAGGGCATCTGTGGAGTTCTTGCAATGAAAACCAGATTCAGCACTTGTACTGAAAGACTTTTAAAAGATCTGAACTTTCTGAGGCCTTGGGAAAGACATCTGCGCTACAGAACTATAAAGAACTATGAAATGCAAAGCCCCTACCACGTGAATACTGATCACTGCCACCTGGAAAACAAATAGAACTAGATAATAGAGGCCCCCTATGTTCTTTCAGGCCTGCAAATTCAGCCAGTTGGAATATGTATATTCACACTCCTAATGTCTTCTAGTTTTATCTCACTTACCCTGCTAGCTTTCTTGTACATTTATCTGTCAAGAGTCATCACGATTAAGCTGTTTCTTCTTCCCAGGAAGTGACCATCAAAGCCAGTTAAGGCGGACTCATCAGACAAAGCCCCATTTGTCTGCTTTATCCAATGTCTATTTAAGACACGGAGTTTTCCCGAGGGAACATACAGAGGCAAGAAGAAACCAAAAAGAACTGGAGAATTTCCAGACCAAATCTTACTTTTTGTATTACTTAAGCAAAATCCCTTCCTCTTCTACTTCTCACTAGTGTTATTAATTAATACCCTCTCAAACTTCAGCGTCAGCTTTTCTTCATTGTTTTATGACTTACCCTAATTTCCTTTTTTTAATTTTTTTCTTACAAATTTGCCACTTCTTTCCTTACAACTTTTTGTAAGTCCAACACGTTCCATTTTTAAGGCCAAGGAACTAGTCTGTTAAGTCTGTTCCTACTGACTACAGCCATCATCTCTCTTCTTTTCCTGCCTCCCGTCAGTTCCTCCCAGGACCCTGTGCAAAGACCATCCACCTTTCCATTTCAGCGCTTGAAGATGCCTTTGCGCTTTGGAAGCTCTCCAGAGCTCGACCTTCATCTTGCCCTTTCCTTCTATCCTTCTTACACATTTTTTCCCACTCCTTTGGTGGCAAAGTGACCTCAGTAGCAGCTGAACTGAGTTGTGCCCTGTTTACAGATCCAGCTTGGAAAGCTTTCCAAAGGTAGAAATGAAGACTATTCTAGGTGTGGAATTAGAAAAGGATGAAGACAACGTGAAATATAGGGACTTTTTTCACTATTAAACAAAGCTGTACTGCCAAAAATGACAAAGTGTCTCCCTTAGAGCAAGTATTGGGATTCACATAATACGTAACATGATTTTGTTTCTCCTCATGTAGCTAGGAATAAAATTTATGGATTTGAAAATAATTTTTGTTATTTATCTCTACTCATAAGGCAAACTGAGATCCTATATATCTTCTATTTAGTAATTTTCCTGACATACTACAGATGACCTGATCTTCTATATTCAGTATTTTTCTTGACTTAAACTTTCAGTGACACTATGAGTAACGCAAAAATCAAACTAAAGAATACATATGAGCTAGAAAAGTTCATGAAGTTCTGGGAGACTGGTTTTTTAGTCTGCAGAAATACTGTGACATTACTAGGTAGTATGCATAATGCTGTATGGTTGTATACATACCAAGCTCTGCACGTAACTGGGAATGCAACATGCTGAGCACTGTATTTAAGAAAACTGACTCTATTTATGACTGTGTTTGAAGATGCTGCCATAAAGACAAAACCTGAACAGATCTCTAGAATACTTTATGAGGAAAAAAAATAAAATAAAATATTCCCAGCTCTTCTAGATATTTACTTTTTCATTCTAACAATAGCTCATTACTGGAATTGAATAACAGACTAAAGACTGCCTCTCTGCCTTTCAATTCATCAGGCTTAAGCAGAAACAGGACTGCATCTTTGGCCTTTGTTGATGCTGCTGTCCAAGCTTATTATCATATGAATATCTAGTTATTGTTTTATAAATGTTCACATTTCAGGAGCTCCCTGATTTCTTTTCTTTCAGTAGACTTTACAATATCCACCTTCATTATCATCATGTGGCAGCATTGCTCTTTTCCTGCATTTGCTGCTTTAAAAATTAATGCACTGCTATTTTCTGAACACTGTACTGCATAAGCTGCTTATGAGTACATTATGCTATCAAGCAAGCACATGCAGAAAAGCTCCCTAAACTGTTATTCTTTCAATGAAAATACAGCTGGTTCTGCTTGAAAGGCACTTCTTTTCACCTGCAAATGGACTTGCTCTTATACTTATTCCTCAATTCATTGTCTTTTATTTGTGTCTGCAAATCTTTAATTGCCTTTAATTAGAAAAAAGTAAATTCAGTGCTTTAATCTTGCAAATACATTCAATCATAATTCTGTCTGGGATGAATACCAAGTTCTATTCACTGACTGATCTTTATAACAAAGGTATATAAATTTA